AATTATTAATAGTTTTGGAACTGTATTGTTGTTTACTACTGTGAAGCCTCTAGATAGAGTACATTTGGAGGATAGTATTTGGAAATTTGAATGGGAGTTTGCACAGGGAAGTTGGGTGTTCTGATTTCTGCGCAGGAGGTTTGCATTGGAATTTCTGGACTGGGAAATTTATGCTGGAGGATTTGTGTTGAGAGATTGTAACATTCAAGGCTATGGGCCTGGTGTGGGAAATTGGGATGAGTGTAGGTAGTAGTGTATTTATACTAGTACAGACTTGATGGGCCACATAGCCTCTTCTGTACAGTATGATGATTGTTCTGACAATGAAATGTATTTGGGGCGGGGAGGTGAGCAGATTTTGATTGGGGGTGCAAATGTGAGTAAGTCAGCCTTGTAAAGCTGATAAAAAGCCAATGGCATTGATGGCCGTTTACCAGTGAATATGCCCCCTTCACACTTCACGTCAGCCCTGATGAAGAGTCAACTAGACTGGAAGCGTTAGTTTGTTTTCTCTCCATGGATGCTGCCTGCCCCGCTGTGATCTTCAGCATTTGTTGTTTTCAGTTCACCATCAACATATCACCCGAAGCAAAAATGTACTGTGTCTCAATCTGTTGTAGCACGAATAGGATTAGAATTTTTTGGCTAGATGCGAAAGACACTAACATTTGTATCACTAATTGCCGGAGAGAGGATATACTTTTAACAACATAGATGCACAATAAGAATCGTTAACAGCATTTGTGGATCTAGTCAGCTTGAGCGTTAAATCATATTCGCTCACTATGACAGTTGGATTGCTTACAAAAAAAACCCTACATTTTAAAAGTTGCCTGGAAGTGAACCTGTTTAACTTTAAATTTCAGTGTTTGTATTTCTACCGTCGCCCAGACAGGACCAGGTTCGAGGAGACGGGTTCCGTGTAGCTGGCGTAAGGAATACTCACTGACCCCTTAACCCACTGCTAAACAAAACCTGCTGAATCCTTCCTCTCCTCACTCTCATGTCCCAGCTCAGCTCCTGAATTCGCATCTTAACCAGAATCAGGTTTCCGCTGGGCGTGAGGTGCAGGGGAAGTCTCTATGGGCCATACATGCTTTCTTACAGGAAAACATTCACCTTGTATCAGGTTGTGAAAAAACGTTTCTTTTTAAAACTCCAGAGTTCAAAACAATATTGTATAATGTCGTAAAATATTGATGTAATGCTTACATTTCTCTTACCTCATGGGTAGAGTATTTGAAATTCAGTTCCGAGGCGCAGTTGAAACTTGTCGGTGCTGAGCCCAGGCCGACGTGGGGGAGACTGGAACGAATCGGCCCGAAGCTGTGAACGGGTTTTTGCTGGTATTCGGGAACAAGCAGATCAAATGGCCGAGGACCCAGTTTGTCGGAAGCTTCCGGGGGATTTCGCAGTTATCTCCCGTTTGTAACTGAAATATGGATTAACACTAAATTTTATATCAAACCAACATTTATTGAAACGCTTTGGGTTTGTTTTTGCTGAATTTGGTAACGAATTTAGCCCGCACGCCTAGAACTGAAACTTGTTCAGGCTGGAAGTTTGCTAAAAAAAAGAATTAAACTAATAAATGAGTTTAGATTCGAGTGGTTAGGATGTGAAAGAGCAACGGGTGGTGGATGAAGTTAAGATGCAAATTAGTCATGATCTGACGGGCTGAATGGCCTCCTCCTGTTCCTGTGAACATCATAACCTTAGAAGAATCTGTCGTTAAACGCTGCAAGAGTTATGATTATTTTAAACGGTGACCGGGTTATTTTGTTTCAGACGAACCGTTATGATACAGCGAGGTAAAAGTTTAAACACTTGTGAAAACAGATCCGAACACCAAAAATCGGATAACCGATGACCGCGGGCCCTCACACTCATATTTTCAATTGGCTGAGGATTGAACTTTGACCAACAGACCACCTGCATTCACGTAGCGCCTTCACTTCAGCAGAGTGGCAGGAGGGGTTCCACAAAAGCACACGCAGGCGGTAAGTCATTTAGCGGGAGTTCCATCAACCTCCCAACAACAGGGTCAGCTTCCTGCAGTGACTCTCCGCTCGCTTCACGCTGAGTGAGCTGAAACGCCTCGCGGGGCTCCGAAGGGGGGCAGGCGGGGGGGGGTGGGGGTGGGTGGGGGGAGGCAGGTGGGAGAGAAGGCAAAAGAGATTCGGGGATTTTTAAATCGGTACCATTAAAACATTTAAAACATTTAATATCAACACTACCCATAAAAAAAGATGCTTGCACTAAGTTTTTTTCGAGTTTCAAATATTAGTCACCCGTGAGATTTGGGGCCATTTTCTGACATAAGAATTCATTCCACCTCTTCAGTGATACTAAATCCTAGTTTTCCTGAATTAAAATAGTAGCCTCGCAAAGATTCGTGACAATAAAATAAATAGAGTAAATCAATAACGGATCGCAAGGAATCTTGTTTCCAATTAGAGCTGGGATTAGAGTTCAGCACCGCCAATCCCAGGTACAGGTTTGGATGTCAGTTACACTGTCAAATACTGCCATCGACTGCATCTGTACTTAGAGCAATTCCAGGCAACTCAAGAACAAATTGGGACGTGATCTGTCCGCATCAGCAACACTTGCTGATCGGAATAAACTCGTTCGAGACGGGAGCTGAACTGGTCTTTAGTCTCAGTGCTGAAATGAGCCTGGGGAAACGCCCGGTGCTATCTCTCGATGTCAGTTGTTGGTGTAGCGCTCCTTGCTGGTCAAAGGGACTGGCCAGGAGACTGGTTAGAGCTGGCGTTTTCACTCGCGGCTGACACCTAACGTTAGCGGCCCCGGTCACAGCTCCGTCGCACTGGCCAAGATATAATCCTGTCTCTTCATCTGAGCCGACAAACAGCCGTGAGCCAAGAGCCAGAGGCTACTGGTCAGGCTCGTAATTGAAAATAAATCCACCTGCTTCGCCATTCAACTGATTTACAGGCGGGGTCAGAGTTGGCTGATCAAAGACAGCGGGAGACTGTTCATGAATTTTCTCTGTCCGTGGCAGTTGCGCACATTTCAGCACGGTGCCTGTGCCGTGGGGCCGCCTACCCCCATTTTGCCATCACAGTCTGTCCCACTCCACAAACCCCTGAGATTCAACGTGCTCAACTCTGCAGTTTGTAAACTAGATATCTCCGTTTCTAACTGGCGACACGTATTAATTTCCATCTGTCTTTGTATCTGTCCAGAGTAGCTATGTTTATGTCAATGTCTGTGTTCATATTTTTATGTGTTGATCAATGTGTATCTGTATATATCAGGAAATATCAATGTACGTACTGACGAAAAATAGTTGGAACACTCGTTTTCCCAAACGTTTTCATTTCAGATTTCTCGTGGTTTTCTGTTTGTGTACGTACATACAGCAATCCCTGCATTAATCAATACATGATAAATCTCCACTATCAGTCTCATCAGCAACATATGTCTCCAATCACCAATATGTGTGTTCTGTATTTCACTCTAAATTAATCGATTTAGTCATCTGTGTCTATGTCACGCGATGTTGCTTTTTTAACCTTTACTTTAAGTGGCTGGTTAGAAACGCCAATTAAGTTTTTCTTACATTCTGACCATCATCCAATATTTTTAATTCATCCACACCTTAGTGTCTTTACTTTTCACGCACCGGTTACCTCTTTTATTGTATTTTGCTCCTCCGACACTCTTTCCCAGGCGGTACAAAGCACGTTGGAATATGTTTTTTAATGGCTGTTATTTTAATCTGCCAATCCTCTCCCACGCTCCCCGCCACCATGAAAGCTGCGAACTTGTCTTTCACTCCCTTCAACTCCTATCCTCTCTCTTTCTAGCCTGCAAACCCGGCCTCACAGCGCCAGGAGCCCGGGCTCGATCCCACCCTCAGGCAACAGCCTGTGTGGAGTTTGCACATTCTCCCCGTGTCTACGTGGGTTTCCTCCCACAGTCCAAAGATGTGCAGGCTAGGTGGATTGGCCATGATAAATTGCCCGTAGTGTCCAGGGATGTGCAGGTGGGATAGGGGGAATGCAAGGTTACAGGGGTAGGGTAGAGGGGTGGGATGCTCTTCTCAGAGTTGGTGTGGACTCGATGAGCCGAATGACCTCTTTCTACACTGTATGATCCGATGAGTTGGATGGACACTATTTCGGAGCATTACGTTAGATAGCCTCCCCACCAAGCTCACTGGGGAGTGTTATTTTAAGTTGACGTTTCCCTAAAATACCCATCCACCCCCTTCCCCATTCTCCAACCAGCGGTGACGGGGAAAGAATGGTTCATAAATCATAATTTTAATAATACCACGAACTCGATTACCTCGTTCAACTATCCGTTCGCAGTACATTAATGATCCAGCGTTCACATTAATGCGGTGACACATTTGGATGTCGCAGTTTTCTATGTCTATGATCTGTTCATGAGATAGATAGTAACCCGTGCGTAGACATGGGAGGGTATTGTGTTAAAGATATTACTACTTTGTATTTGTAAAAAAAATCATTCATTCAAATAAAAGGAAAACCTTCTACCGAAATCTCGATGTTGAATTCTCATTGCGCTAAACGGTGGACTGGGATTTAATAATTAATGTACGATGGGCTAAGGATCATTGGTCAAAATGTATAACTCAGTGAGTGCAATAAGTTAATTTCGTTTATAGCCGTTATTAGATGAATTACACAGGTAACTTGTCTGATTTTGCGTAGAGTGTTAGAGTCTCCTAACGCCTTCGTTTCGGCTCGGCCGTATCTGTGCGACTATCGAACCCGATTGTTACTTAAAATTGTTTTGTTCGTTTTGGCAATGTTCCCTGCTTGAGTCAGGCGTAGGGAGGAAGGGGAACGGTGCCCATCTCTGAGAGAGAGAGTGGGAGAGAGGACCATTCAGCCGAACGCTGACCGGTGGCCCAGGCGTCAATCCCTCGTCATTTGACCCTCTCTGTTCACATCCTGCCTCATCTCTGGTTTGAACTAAAAGTAGCAAACTGAAGGAGAAACAACAAAACAAAACTGTCTTTATTGCGTCAAACAACAAATAATTCCGATGAATTTATTTCAACGAGGAGTGTTCTTCGGAGGTGTCTCTGTGTGGTTTCTTGCTGGTAAGGTACACAGTGCCTCTTCTCTCGTTTGCTGTAACCAGGCTTTTCCTTGTTACTGGTATCAGCGCCCCCAACCGACACCTGCCGGGGAGGGTATGGGTGTGTAGAGAGAGAGAGGGAGATGTGAAACTCTGCCGCTCACGACTGCAAATATCCGCAGAGGACGTGCACATCCGAGTAAGTGCTGTAAATCTCACAGAGAATGGTACAATGACCCCAGCTCCCTACTCTACATCTCATTGCAAACCGTTACAAATCAGCCCCAGGTTCACGTTAAGCAGAGATACTGGACGGGAGAGAAATCCCACCGGTAAAAGAAAAACACAGCAGTCATTTGAACATACTTTAAAGCACACTCGTGGCCGAGAGATCACTTTTGCTGGCGGTTGGACTCAGTTGCCTAGTCCCTGTGATTCTGTCTCTGAAACCAGGTTTGAAATGCTAACTCCCAGCTTGAATCAGGTGTCGAAAACCAGGCGCCAGGCCACTATCCCGGATGGTTTACAACCCACTTTGTCTCGCAGACATTACCGTATACTTTCTAGCCGTTCACCACCATCAGTCCTTTTAAAAAAATGTATTTCCGCGGTTGAAACAGGTCCAAAGATCCGTTTATAAGCCAAAACTAAAATATCCTCAGACTCAGATGATCTGAAATTACGTTTCGTTTCCTGGTTATTCCCATCCTGATTAACATTAAAACCGAATGTTTTTTTTATGGTTTAGACTGAAACTGATTAGACTAACATGTATAAGAATAAAAAAGACTGAAATTAAAATTCAAATAAGGGACGCAAACACGGCAGGAAAACGAGAGCATCGATATCTTTTGATTGAATTGTCTAATTAGTAAACATGAAAAATGAGCGAAAAGATTTTTTAAAACTCATTTTCGGATTCCGCAAAGAGAGGGGTTGATTTGCAAAAGAGGCAAATAGGGGGGAAAGTGTATAGAAAATCGGATTTGTCTGAATGTAGCGGCACATCAATCTGCCCCAGAAACCGCGAATTCCTTACCCTGCTCCCGGGAGTGGCGCAGATAGCCATTCTCAGGTTCAGCATGTAAGTGTGGGAGGTACCAGATGGGTGTTGTTATCCGCTAATATTTATGAAGGTTAAATATATAATTAACTTTCAAATAAATGTAATGGTTTGGATCCGAAGTTCTGTCTAATAAGGAGGAAAAAGTGATTACATTGATGTCCTGGAATGTTAATGGCCAGAGCTGAATTATTGGGATGAGATCCAGTAAAATATGACATTTCTGGATTATTTAATCCTTTATCGATATTAATATAGAGACAATAGTGTCATTAGTATTTGCAGAAGGATGACCAGCGGAAATTAATGGGAGTCTAGAAGCCTGTGGTCTGGCGTTATCCGTGAGTAATAACTACATTCGGCTTCATGAAGGGTCTTCCAACCTTTCCAAGGTTAATCTCTTACCGGAGTCAAATAGTGCAGTAATTGGTGCGTGGAAACGCGAACAGCTCACTAGAGAAAACTTTTGGTGGTAAATGACACGCAAGGAGAGTTGTGCACAGCATGACATCAAGATTCATTGGCGTTTGATTAACGAATGTCTATTCCAAAGGAAGACACCTGCATATGAGCCACGTTTTAAAGCGAACAGTTTAAACAGCGGTGAAAACTTGGCCAAGATAATGGGAACTTAAATTCACTTCAACACATCCCGTCTCCAAACATCATTCAGTTCAACATTGAACCTAAAATGTACGATTGAGACAAACTGTTGGTGATGTTTTGAATCTAACAGTCACTTTTAAACAACGATACATTGCGATAGTTTTCTATCATGACAGCGTCAAATTAAATATTAAAAAAAACCCTTAGTTTAAACAAGACGGCTGGCAGAAGCAGTGTTTCATTAAACAACATTTATCCAGATGCCAATTCCTCCCCGAATCCACACATTTGTTACTTTCCGACTGGCGAGATATGTCTTTAGCCAGCCGTCAACGCGGCTGCCAAAATGTTAAATATTTATTTTTATGAACATATCCCGAGCGATTGAGAGCGGGAATTGAGAACGAATAGTTTGACTAAGCTGGAAATATCACTTTATTAGAAACGCTGAGGGTAAGTTGCATAAATAGTGAGACTTATTCGCTGCTAATTGATCTGTGTCCAATACATAGATGCTTCCATATTACTGTATAGAATTAATACATTCTAAACATTACGTTTCGATTTCGCTGATAACATGATATCAGGTCAAGAGATGCAGAAGCAGTCACCCACCGCACCCCCCAACCTCCCCCCAGCCACGGATAAGTGCATTATTATGGTATATGCGATAGATAATGTGCCTGTACATAGGATCTAAACCTAGCAACAAATTGCAGTTGCTGTATCGTGCATAGATGAATACAATAACCATCAGTAAATGACCCGGGGAGTTGGCTGCGCCGCCGTTCCCATTGCTAAATGTGCATTCCCGACTAATTAGCGGTTTACGTCAAATTCTTTTCCCCCTTATACAACCCCTCTGCTAATAGTTAGTTGCTTTATTCTCTCTCGCCTGAGCTAGTTACAGGAACTGAGATAAGGATCCGCGGACAGGTGTCCCGGCTTCTCGTGTGATTTTTATTCTTAACACTTTACAGGCCGAATCAGTTCAAGGGTGATCATACTTATAAAGGTTGGAATATTTTGAATTAGGGGAAAGATAATATCTAAGCATGTTCCAGAATGTAAACATAATAGAATGAGATAAATCCTAACTTCAGAGATTTATTTACCAGCATTATCGTTAATATAATATATAATACTGTTCTGCTGACTTTCATCTGTATACATTAGATATACATGGCGGTTATGTTATAGACTCAATTATATATCAGAAAATGTGATAAATGAGTTCAGGACACCTCCCTCTATCCGCTACTTCTGGTCCTTTTCGCGGTTTCGGAGTCGCTCAGAATAGCGGAAAATAGAATCTTCCTGATTTGATTTTGGGATGGGATACCCTTAGTGGTGGATAAATTATTTTCTCTCGGTGAAAATGCCTTCCACCTCTGACCTTTGTAGTTCAGCTGTCTCAGTCTTGGTTTTTCACTGCTATTTTAAGTAATCCGGAAATGGTAGCAAGATTCCATGCTGAGGTTAGCCAACCCAAACTTGCCCCTAAAACCGGACTGGTCTTCCTTGGGGACAGGCATGTTTTCCCCCTTAATCTGGAGCGGCTCTAGTTCGGGCGACGGGAACTATTCCCGAAAGCTAGAGTAAAAACACACACCTCCCACTGAAACCGGAATGGGATGGACATCGACAAATGTGAGGCGCGTTGGAAAGGCTCATTAAATAAGAGTAAATGTTTGTCATTGATGAAAGAAATTGATGACTACTGTCTCGCAGTAAAACCCTAGTCAAAGTCTCTACCCCGTTATGGTGCGGCTAAGTGCAGTTTGTCCGCTCAGAAAAGGTGAGATTTCGAATTCATTTGGACACTCTGAGCTCCCAGAGCGGTGGGGCAGCACCTGTTGCTCTCTTACGCCGAAACTGCGCCAGGTGGGTCACTGCATGGGCATCTCGGTTTCTCTGTCGTTTATCCACTCGCCAGATTGACTCCGCAGACGGACACTTTGACCTGGGTTCGATCGCTAGGCAATGGCCTGAATTTGGTCCGACGCGCTGTCCCCATGCGTGAACACTTTCTAAACATGATATTCGCTATTACAGTGCCAATATCACAATTAACAAATTTGTTTCCAGCTACTTAGGTATCAGAATTTATCACGTTGCTGCTTCTGAGTAGGGTGGGTGGGGGAATTATGTAAATTGGCCGCCGATTTTCCTACTTGGCAATAGTGACCACACCTTAAACAAAATACTTCAGTAAAGATAAAACGCTGCGGATACTGAAGATCTGAATAAAAACAGAAAGTGCTGGAGCAACTCAGCAGGTCTGACAGCATCTGTGGAGAGAGAAAAAAAGAGTTAACGTTTCCAGTTCAAACTGACTCTGCTCCAAACGTTTCCAGTTCAAACTGACTCTGCTCCAAACGGCTAAAACAGTCATATTTTCAAACGTTGACTCTGTTTCTCTCTCCACAGATGCTGTCAGACCTGCTGAGTTTATCAGAGACTTGCTGTTTTTATTTCAAAAAGGACTTCTTGTCTGTAGAACGCTCTGTGTTTCCCCCCTAAACTTGGGACCCTGGTAGCAACAATCCCAACCCCACAACATCCCCGTCCCCAGCTTTATAATCCTGACTCCCAAAAATCCTTTGTTCATAAACTTCTTAACAGTTACATTCAAATGTCAAATGTGAACGTTTTGGCGAACTTATTTTTAAGAAAGGGTCTGGGGGTCTCTAGCTGTGGATCTGAATAGAACGAGGTGTTTTACAGGGAAATGGGAAAACAGAAGGTAAATAATACCATTGTGAACTGGGAAAACTGGTGGCTGGATTTGAAGTTAAAGATTGATTCACTCACAGTAGGATGCAAAGGGGAAAAAGGAGCAAGAAAGAGAGACGGAGAAGTGGAGTGGGGCAGAACTGAGGGAGAGAGATAGGGACAGGGTGAGGGGGAGACAGAGTTACAGGGGGAGTGAAGAAAGAACCAGAGTCACATGGCGAGGCAGATGTCCTCAAAAGGGGCTGATAGCAGGAGAGAAGATAAACAGGAGAGATAGGAGCAGCGGGAAAGACAGGGAGAGAGAAGATGAGGACAGAAATACAGAGAGGGAGGCAAGACCAAAGGGAGAAAGCCAACTTTCCAAGAACTGCGGCTCCTGACTCTCGCCATCTATCGATCATTTGAATCTCATAAGTGGACAGGGACCAGCAACTACAAGGTACATACTCTCAAGACGTGGGGAAACAAATCAAAGCCACTACCTTCCCAGGACACAGTGGAAAATCCAGCGAAATTGCTGGACTTGCATTGGCAGCGTACACGTGACATGAAAAAAAAGATTTTGACAGGGCCTTAAACTTCTTGGCGCCAAGGAGATGGTTCTGCTAAAAATAAGGGAGAGCTTGGACGGAAAATAGAAAGTTAAAATGTGACAAATGGAATGGGGAAGCTGAAATGAAGGAGTAGGGCAGAGAAAG